CTGGGGCTGGGGCCACGGAGGGCTGCGTGGTGGGTGGCTGCTGGAGCTAGGCTGTGGTGCAGCTACTCCAGGGGCTCAGCCATGGCGTGGCTGGGGCCATGGTGCATGCTTTGCGGTATTTCAATACACTGAAGTGCATCAGGCAAGTGCCTCGCACATTGTATTAACCAACACTGCTATAAAAGCGTGGATGACATTCCTTAATACGTCTCTAGAACATCCTGTCAGCTCATCATTGGTTACAAGAAGCATTCAACAATGAAGCTGGATGGTGCTTCACATGGGAACATCAAGAACTAAATAAAATAATGCATGGTGCAAATACTTCACTGGTTGTTCTAAGGCCTTCTGCAGGTGGAACAGCAGTATCTTCCACTGTAGGTAATGAGAGTTGCTAGTACTCAGCACATCTCAGGGTCAGGCTAATAGTTTTATGAACTGATCCTGGTTTCTGAAAATGGCTATAAACAACAACAATGCCCAGAAAAATGCCATATAACTAGGGAAACATTTGCTGCACTAGTGAACATGAGCGACAAATTCAGTTTTTAACAATATCCTGGATAGTGCAGGAAAAACCAGAATGCTACTGTATGTTTCACTGGGCACGCATTGTATTAATAGCTGTAAGAGTAGGGGCTACTTAGGGTGGGCACGACAGACATTGGTTGCATGCCACAGTAAATAGCTTCACAGCACTTGCTCACTCCTCACATTCACCCTGTGCCTTTTCTGAAGTCGCCAGTGTCCCCTACTTCTACTTTACTGCTCCTCTAAAAATTGCCATTCACTGCATAGACTGGGGCTGAACTGATCTTCTCTGAGGGTACTTCTAGACTACCGCATTTTGTCGACAGAAGTTTTGTCGACAGATACTGTTGACAAAACTTCTGTCGACAAAGCGCGTCCAGACTACGGAAGCAATAGACAAAAGTATAGATAAAAGTTTTTGCTTTGTCGACAGAGAGCGTCCAGACTGCAGGACGCTCTGTTGACAGAAGAAAGTACCCGGAACTGCTTTGCCAGGTCACAGGGGCAGCATGTACTTCCTGGTGCTGCTGCCTGCACTGTGTGGAGTGCCCTGCTTCCTGGCACAGCACAGCAGTGTGGGGGTTTTTTTTGGAAGGTTTTTCCTAACCTTTGTTTACCATGGAGCGAGATCTTCCCCTGGCCAGGTGCTGGCCCCACTCCACGGTGCTTCAAATGCTGCTGCAACTGCATGAGACTATCATGCTGTTAATGCCTGGTCCGGAACCTGAGCCCAGACTGGAGCCGCTCCTTCAGGATGCAGCAGCACTGTTCCTGCCT